CATACCAAGGGAACATGAATCAAATATGTATCTTTATTCATTTACAATAAACTCATAAAGTACATCATTCTGATTCAAGCTAAGGGCATACAAAACTGTCTAACAGTCACATCATGTCCTCGTTGGCAACACCAAACTACAATCTGAGAAAACACCAAATTTAGCGTTGCTCTAGACCACGGCTTCTCGATTTTCAAGACATGACTTAAAACACTTTTTATAGAAAAATGATTCCAAATAAACAAACATTTCTTGGAACACTATTTTTCTAACGTGACGCTGATATATCACCGTTTTTTGGAGGAATAGCATGGATGCCAAACAGACGCAAATTATTTATTTGGTCGGCCGGTTCAATCCTTTTCTTTTATTTCTTTGGTCGGCCGGTTCAAGCTTAAGACGATGGATAAATACTTCCCAAAAAGTATGAGATATGAAAAGAAAATAATCTAATCCGAACTGTGAAAAAGCGGCATATAAGCTCACATTAAACGTGTAAAGTTGAAAAGATGACAACAAAGATAACGGTAGGACCAGAGGAATATTCCCTGTCCCTGACCGTAACAGAGCTGTACTGTGGAAAAAAACAGTAAAAGACATTTGCCGCTTATCTGGCCAATAATCTTGTATCTCAAATATCAACCCCATGCATGTGCTGGGAATCTGCAACATGGGTCGGTGATTGGATAACAACCATCTACAGAAGTAGAGAGTACAGAGTACAGACTGATAATGGATAATAACATCCTCGATAGTTCGTTAAGGGATTAATGAAACGAAAATTTGAAACTTGAAAGTAGAACCCTAAACAGCAATGAGACGTTGATACAAGTTTAAGAGCCACAATCACTGAAACGAGCTGTCTGTCAAGTTATCAAAACCAGTGGGCTGTTTTTTCTACTTCTTTGGGTGATGCATATCGTCCTCCTTACACGCCAAAGTTGAGCTTCTGACGTGCTCGTTGGTCCCATCATTTCGTGGTTGGTATCATTGTTCCGCATCGAACATCTCTCTCTTATTATATATATAGACGATACAACAACATATGTACTTGGACAAGGAACGACAACCATCTCTTCCTCCTCTCTTCTAAGCCTTTCTCACACTCACCCACCAAGTGTTCGATCTTTTCTTCCTTCCATCATTACAACGCTAATAGGAAAAGAAAATGGGCATTCGTTTTCCCGAGATGGTTGCTCATGCAAAACAGTTCATTCGGGGACGACGCTCTCTTTATTCAACAACAGTGAGTACAACCACAAAGGATGTTCCCAGAGGCCACTTCGCTGTTTATGTCGGAGAGAAGCAGGCTAAGCGGTTCGTGGTTCCCATTTCCTTCTTGAAGCATCCCTTGTTTCAAGACTTGTTGAGTCGGGCTGAAGAAGAATTTGGATTCGATCATGGGATGGGTGGTCTCACGATTCCATGCGACGAAGACGCCTTCATCAGTCTCACTTCTCACTTGCATGGCTACTGATGAATAGAATAGAATAGAGATGTAGAGAAGTGACCCTGCAAATTTGTAACCAAATTTCATATATAACCCTTTACAACTTAATTATTATCTCTCCAATTTTGAAAATATAACTTCCTTTTCTTCCTATTATTTCTTAGTAGCTGGATTCAAGCATGTCTCAGTAGAGATTTCTTCTTTATTTTTTCTTTCCTTTTCTTATCATTCCCCCCATTTCTTCCCTTCTGCTAGTGTTTATCAGGGCTTCAGGCTCCATTAATCTCTTTGAACCGTCATTACTCACTCCGGAGATATTCCCAATATGTTGTCGCCCCCCACAACGTCCTTTGTGGGTAGGGATGTGAGAAGAATTTGTGGGGAAGAGATTTAAGCTCCTGGGCAATAATGATTTGTTAAGGCTATATTTGATTTCAAGGAAAAGGTAGGAAAAGAAAGGGTAAAGACAGGAAAAAATATAAGGTTTGTAAAAATTTCCTTACCTTTTCTTACATTTTCCTTCAAACCAAACTTACGGACACGACTGGTTACCACCACAATAAGCGCTTGACTGTTCAACTTTACCGATTAATGGGGCTGACATTAGGAATTTGCATATGTGCATTTTTATTACTATCACGTTATTTTGGACCCTGAAAAGGTTTTTAGGTTCAGTTTAGTTGCATTGTAAATTTTATTTGCACTGGCGTAAATGCATTTGTAAATGTGCATTTTCATTACATTCTCGTAACTTTGAAGAGGTGAAAAGGATTGTAGGGACAGCTTTTTTGCATTGGTGTAAATGCATTTGTAAATGTACCTTTTCCTCACATTCTCTTTACTTTGCAGAGGTGAAAAGGATTGTAGGCTCAGTTTGGTTGCATTGTACATTTCATTGCATTAGCGTATAAATGCATATGGGTGTAGATATATAGGTAAAGGTAAACTTTGGTTTTTTTTTGCTTGAGATTTGACTTTATCTATTTGTTCGTGAGAATTAAAATAATAGTAAAATGATGTTATCCCCATCTTATATGTACTAAAATGCAGGTAAGTAGAAAAAATGTTATGCATCTACGTGGTCAGAGGGGAGGGCATGCATGTGACCAAATGTATTTTACATTTGGGGTTTAAAATTTTGGTTTTAGGGATTAGGGTAAGAGTGTCAATGGACCAGTTGCCGATTGGACCTCATCCAGTCTAAAATCAATTTGGACGGACCAACAAGACATATTGGATTGGACCAATACAGTTCAAAATATTTATTATATTGGATTGGACCTGGTCTATCTGTAACAAATTTATATTGGATTAGGTTGGAGTAAGCCAATATTTGGTCCATTGATATAAGATAAGAATATATGTGTCAATGGATCGGGTTTGGATTGAAACCAATCTAAATCAAAATAAATTTGAACAGACTGGACGGTCCAGACATTGAATTGGACTGATCCAAATTGGTCCAAAACATTCATTGGATTGGATTGGACCTGATCCATTTATAATGGATTCACATTGGACTGGATCGGATTGGACCAAATCCAGTCCAATTGACACTTCTAATTTAGGGTTTAAGATTTAAGATTTAAATATAAAAATCAATAGGTATCTAACCCTCGAATGAACAAATTAAAGCCTGTTTGCTTAAAAGTGAGGTAGGAAGGTAGATGATGGCATGATCCCGTTACCATTTTTATGAGAGAATTGAGGTAGGCAGAAGGTGGTGCAAATTTTGCCTCTTTCTTTTATTTATTATTATTATTTGAGATGCAAACTTTGCACTGCCAATTTTATGACAAAAAGTATAAAATTTGTATCAGTTAAGAGCATAAATTGTTATTACAAATAAATGGTGTAAAACTGAACAGGGTGCAAAATTTCTACCTTGTTTAGATTTTGCATTGCAAACAGACAGACCCGGAGTTTCAATTATTGCATCCATCCCTGCAATTGCATAGACATTCATCAATTGAGTTTGGATCAACCCTGTCAAATTTATTTTGGTCTTTTTTTAATATTTTGGAGGACTAGAAATCGTTGGCAAGCTTAAAATCGGATCCAGTCTGGAGCCTAATTGGATCAAAACAGGATTTGTTAAAATACCAGGAATATTCTGATTTGATATTATATTGATTGATGGGATGTGTATTCTCCTAATCCCACCTTGCATTATTCGACCTGCCTTATTGTATGGAATATTCCTAGGTGGTAATGGCAACATTGCTACAACTGTAATTCCGCATGGCTGCAGGCAATACTCCAAAACTCAGTAGCTACAAACAACAGTGGGCTGTTATCTTGGACTGGGTTGGGACAGGCCCATTAGCTATTTTTTATGCAAATTGGGTTTGTGGCATGTTTTAAGGACAAATTGGGCTTCTGTCTGTCCTACTAAAGGGACATTAACAAATGTTGGTCTGGCTATTTGGTCTCACTCCTTGCATGTGTTTGATTTCAGGCACTGAATGAAGAAGTTTTAGCGCTTGTCAGCCAAATGAAGACGTAATATATGCTAATGTTTTAAAAACCGACCTGGAGGTCGAATTATTTGTCTTCAGTCGTGAGTTACTGGTAAATATATATTTTATTAATAAATAATGTATAAATATGTTATATATATTTTAATATTAAATTATATTTTTTTACTGAGTATTTAATTTTTTTTTATTTATAAAATATTAAAAATTGTAATTTGAGGTTAAAAAAGGGCTTTGTTTTGCAAGTAGGTGTCTTGGGATGCATAGATCTTGAAAAATTATCTAAAATAAAAAAAAAATTACCCCAATGAATCGGACATCGAAGTACAAAGTTATGACCTTCAAAAATTTACGTTGAAAACACTGATACATGCTTAGTAAAAAGCTAAATGAAAATTACCTGGGTTCTGTTCACATTATATAAATCAGAATTAGACTGTGTTTAGGATTGATTTTCGGTATAAACAAAAACACTTTTTGAAATGGGCATTTTGGATAAACACTTTTTTAGTGTTTTTGTTCATTAGCTGTTTTTGTTCAAAATAACTTCTTGCAAAGTAAAAAGCTAAATGAAAATTTTTTCCTCGTTTTTCAAAGGGAACTTTTTGATGCAAAAGCCTATATTTTAGCCCAAACAATTTTTTTACTGACTTTTGCCTTTTCTAATAAGAAAAACACAAAAAACTCATTAGGGGAGCAACTCCCAAATATGACTTTAGAATAACGTCACATCCTTTACTTGACCCTTCACACAATAGCATGGTTTTTAAAATTGACTCAGAGACCGAATCGGTCAGGGGTCTAGTTATCGGGTTAATAGTCTGAGGATTCGAATCGAATGGTTAGACTGTTCTGACAAAAAAATAAAAAAATTTAAAAAAAATTAAAAAAATGAAAACCTGTCAAAACCGTTTGAAGCGGTTTACTGACAAAAATCAATGGTTTTTATGAAAAATTCGGTTTTGGGGAAAACCGAACCAATCACCTGACCGATTCTCAGTTTTTCCACTCTGACCATCCAATCCGATCCAGTTTTCAAAACCATGCACAATAATACTAACTCTATACATTTCTACATGCTTTGTATTGTACTGTATGATTTTCATAATTCCATCTATCAATTCAAATCGAAGTAAGAATGAGGATGAACATTGTTTGGAGTAGAAATGGACCGACTCGTATTTGATTCACTGTCCGTCTGATATTACTATTTAAATCAATGGATTGAATAAGCATTTCGAAAAGATGCTAATGAAATTAGGGGAGGTTTTCGACAATCATAAAAACCTCCCCTCAAGTTTCACTTTAATAAAGACCTCCCTTAAACTTTTGGAGCCTCCCTTCCATCACCAACTCAATTGACGGAAAACGTATGCATTATTTTTTTAAAGTACCCATTTTATCCTTTTGCATATAATTTTACATACCAGTAAAATAACTCTAAAAGAAACTTTAATTTGAATAACCTATTTATCGTCTTCTTTCTCTTTCAGTCTACCACCACTGAAACTCCCAACAAGAAAAGATGAAGCATTCAACCACCGTAGCTGGAAAGTAAATGAAACTTGGATGTTTATTGTGGCCTGCAAGGCATTTACAACAACTACTTCTACTATCGTTGAACTCAGAAATGAAACCTGGATAACAAAAAGATCTTCTCACAATTGTGTTTACAACAACTATGTTTATGTTATGCCGTTAATAAGAATCTAACTAAAAAAATAGATTGTGCCATAGTATTGAAGAGGTTCAACTTTTTTGACCCGCAAAGAATTAAAGTTCTGATCGAATTTAATAACTGATTTATACAAAATTTCTGAAAATTTCATTATCAATATTTGTAAGTGAAGTGATTAGATTACCCCCACCCCAAGGAAAAAATGTGAAAAAGAAAAACATTCAAAGAGAAAGAGAATGAAAACTAGTTAAAGGAGTTTGTTCTAAGGAATGCCATATACTAGAAGTAAATAGCAAACACTACATTTCATTGAAAGTCACTTCAAAATGAACCAAAGGAAAAATAAGGCTACTTCAACCGAAGTCCAGAAGGGAAGAAGACTAACCTGCTACAACAGATCCTCTGTTCAACTCTATTCATGATAGCTTTGGCAGTTTTAGTGTGAGCCTCGCAAACTTTGTGCCTCTTGTGTTAGCCCTTTGAGGAATTGAGATCTATTTCACCAACAACTTGGAAAAAAGGAATATGAGAATTCAAATTCGTCATGCAAGATCTTTTTGTAGGTATAGCTGACTTCATTTTGCATAGAACTAGATATTCATTGGAAGATTCACCATTTTATGCATCTCTATGGTCAGGCGGCTCCTCTTCTCTGAATAATGCTTTTAGAGTAACCATACAAGAAGGAGAAGCCTCTATTGTCCTACTTCCCAAAAAACCCACAAATTTGGTTGCCAGGAGATGGGGGGGGGGGGGGTGTCAAGTCCCAACACTTTTCTATTTCTGAGGTAGGAGATGGAAAGACCGAAAGAGGAGGAGAGAGGAGACAAATGGGTTATTCAAGTTAAATTTTCTTTTTAGTAAAGTTCTATCTGAAATGTAAAATCATATAAAAGGGTAAAATAGATATTTTCAAAAAAATAATGCATTACTCAAACGTTTTCCTGTTTAAGTCAGTGACTGAAGGGAAGTTTTTTGTTGGATTTTCTAAAAGTTTAAGTGAGGTTTTTGTTAAAATGAAACTTGAGAAAATGTTTTTATGATTGTTACAAACTTCAGGGAAGGTTTTTAT